CTCCAAATGTATGCAATTTCACCTGAGAGCCGGTTACCATCAATTTTAGCAGGTTACCTGCTTATGTGGCAGCTGAATTGACATTTTTAATAATGTTTAATAAATTTTAATAATAAATTTTTTTAAATTTCTTTTTTTAAATTGTAGTAAATTTTAATATTTTTTTTTAGTAAATTTTTAATTTTTTTTTTTAAATTTTTAGTAAATTTTTTAAATTTTTTAAAAAATTATTAAAAATTCCAACTCAGCAGTCACGTAAGCAGGTAACCTGATAAAATTGATGGTAACCTGCTATCCGGTGAAATTGCATACATTTAGAGTGTTCTGTGGGCTAATTGCACTTTTTTGAGTGTTCAGTGGCCTAATTGTACCTCAGTGGCCTAATTGCATTTTCAGGTTACGTTCAGTAGTCAATTTGTACCTTATTCCTTATTATTTTGTAGGGCATATAGGTATTTATACTCATTATTCTTTACAATTTCAAATCCAACTAAATAATATAATTAATATTTTTAGTAAAAAATTTTTCACCAACCGAGCAATGAAATTCATCTTCCTAATAATTACTTTTTTATAGAATTTCAATATCTTTTTTCTTAAAATATTTTTCGCGAACCAAAGTGCCCTTAATGTTACTTTCGAATGCAATCCTTACTTAGCTGTTAAGTTACAGTCGATATCTTTTGTAAATTTTCATAGATACTTGTTAATAAGAGATGCATCGTTAATGGAATATTTAGCTGGTGCGTATTTATAACAAGTAGAATAAGATAATTCTTCCAAAAGGAACCCCCTCACTTTGTGAGGCTACTCCCACACTGTGGCTGGTGAGACTCGATCCCTAATCATTTTTTCAAAGTTTCAATTCTATAACCAGTTGAGCTACCCATGCGAGCAAGAATAAGATAATTGATTGTCTTACTGACATGTTACTTCAGCATTAAAAAAAATTTTTAAAAAAAATTCCTTCTGTTCATAATAAAATATGGAGTAAATACCCAAAATGGTCCCTCGACTATAGCTAAATTCAAAAATTGGTCCTTGACTTTCAATTTCAACCAATTAAGTCCTTAACTTTGTAATTTTGACACGATTTGGTCCTCCATCTATTTGACCGTTTGTTGACTGTGATCGACGATCTCCAGAAGAACCTTCAGCTCTCGTCGGAACACGTGGAGGCCTCCAGGATGACGTTGCACTGGTTCGAAAACACATCGTCTTCTTCGCTCTGGTACGAACTCAACTACATTGAATCTGAAGGGAGGATGAAGAAAGGCGACCGGATTTGGTAGATTGCTTTCGACAGCAGATTCAAATGTAACCGTGCGGTCTGGAAATGCAACCAGAATCTTAAAAAATCGACGATGGACCGTGAAATTACATATATATCCTCAAAAATCACAGTCAACAAACGGTCAAATAAACAGAAGATCAAATTGTGTTAAAATTACAAAGTTAAGGACTTAATTTGTTGAAATTGAAAGTCGATGACCAATTTATAAATTTAGCTATAGTCGAGGGACCATTTTGAGTATTTACTCTCAAATATGATACTGCATTAATATATAGAAGGTGTAAACTTAGGAGAAAGCTTCATCGTTTTGTTTTTTCCCCTTAAAAATATGAACCAGGTTAAATTAAAGGATATGCCAATTTTGTCTCTCAATTATTTATGAAGTGGTTTTATTTTTTCAACTCAATTCTGATAAAATTCAAGGACAAAAAAGTCACTATATTAACAATTGATGGACAACAAAGTAACGAATGTATAATTGTGAAATTTAAAGTGATATTTTGTAATAATTCATTAATTCATTAATGAAAATTTTGATTCTCCTTTGACGTAATCTCAAGTCTCAACTTTTCTCAACTTTTTTTTTAAGAGTATGGTATCCACTCAGTAAATTATATCATGGACTATGGTTCACCATGCATGTTACGAATCCTAGTCCAAATTACATCGTATATTTATGTAGTTGACTTATTATGTACCATCCGTTAACCGATTATGCATTTTCTGAATGTACATATATAATATGTAAACTGTGAGTACATAAATTAAAAGTACATAATATATTAACTACATATACTTAATTTGGATCGTGATCCACAATGCAAAACAGGACATCCACAATAGGTAGGGTTTTCTTGATTTTTGCAGGTTTTTTGGCAACATGAAAGATAAAGAGAGGGAGTGAGTTCTCTCTGCAAAGATCAAGGTTTTTTTCAGAATTATAAGTCTTAAAAGAGGGAGAAAGAGACAACCTCTTTCTCGTGGGAGGCGCACAAAAGGAGCCCATCCGAGCGTGTCACGCGCCAAGCTGAGCGCGTAAATATAATTATTTTATTTTATTTTTGTTTCAGGCATTTTTTTTTTCTTTTCATTTTTTCTCACATTCTTCTTTATCCTCCTTCATATTTAGCACCTCAAAAATCAATTCTAAAAACCTTACTATTGAAGATGCCCTTTAGAATTTGGTTCATGATACCATAGGTGTCTAGTACAACAGTACAATCTATAACCCAATAAATAGTAAAATAATCTAACCATGGTCCACCTTACAACAAAAGGTATACTTTTATGTAAGGTACACTTTTTTTTTTATATTAAATGTATATTTTTAATACAATAAAAAGTTATTTTTTGAATGTATATTATTTTAATATTGAATATACATTTTTTTTTGTATATTATAAAATAATAAATATTTAGCACATAAATAATGTACCTTCAATATATTATTAATATATTTTTATTCATGATCTACAATATAATTTGCCATAATGAAATGAAAAAATTTGATAACAAATATGAGTGTCCCCACCCAGTTTAGAGAAAGCCTAGAAACCGCATAACCAAACAGAGCCCAACACCAAAGGTAGAAAAACTGAATGCCAGGCCTGAGACCTCTCAAGTAAACCGACACAAATGCTATCATAACTGTAGAGGCCCACAACTATTAAATACGGCAAATTATTGTGTGGAACATGGTCCACACAATGTTATGTGAACCATAATATAAAGTACATTTTTAATATATTAAATGTAAATTATTTTTGTACTAAATGTACATTATATAATATAATGTACACTCAGTACAAAAATAATATACATCCCTTAATTACAATGTACATTATTTTTGTGCTGAATGTACATTATTTTTATACTGAATGTACATTATTTTATAGTATAAAAAATATGATCCACACAACTTGTATGGACCATGGTCCACACAATAATGATTGTATTAATACCATTCGTTATATGGTCCAGTGGTCCACGATATAGTTTATGTATTTATAAAATCTTGCCTCAACAATCTTTGAACTGCTACCATTAATCAACAAAGGTTGTGTTTGATAAAATAGTTGTTAGCTGATAGTTATTAGCTGTTAGTTATTAGCTGTTAGCTGATTGTGTTAATTAAATGGTATAAATAATTGATAATATTAGCTGATTGTAGAAAGATGTTTGGTAAATTAACTGTTAGCTGATAGCTATTTGGTATAATTTCTTTTCTCAAAAAGCTAATTGAAAAAATTGTTTGAAGTAGCTTTTTGAATTTTAGCATTTTGAATTTTAGCATTTTGAAGTTGCAAAAAACTAATTAACTAAATATTTATATTGATATTTTAACTAAATCAAACAATTAATAGTGATCAAATAAGCCAAAATTAACCTATATATTAATTTTTTACCAAACAGGGCCAAAATCTTTATTAAAAAAAATTAATTGGTGAAAATACTCAAATCTTTATGCATTGCATGTGGCAATTGTAAATGAATATTTGAATTTTGGTGAACAAATTTAAACTTTTGTGTTTTGTGGTAATTATATAATAGTGAGTCTTCATTTAATTTTTTAAGTGGATTATAGCCTTTTTTTTAATTACATTTATAATTTTTTACAAGGTAGTATTTTTTTCATTTTTGAGTATTACTGTCTACATAAGTACAAAGAGTCAATACCGCCCCTGAGGCTTGAACCCACCACCTCCCATATTGGAGAGAAACTTATAGTGTCATTAGATCACAAGGTCATTGGCATTTACAAGGTAGTATATGTTATACTTTATCTAATTTTTTCAGCTCAAAGAACCATCTGAATTCGATCATGTGATCATCCATTTGAAATATTAACAGATGTGTCATCAGTCATCACACTACATAAATAATAATAATAATAATTATTATTATTATTATTATAATAATTAAAGCATGTGCTACATCTCAACTAAAAGCCTAAGCTAATAGTTAGATTACACATTAATGGTTATATGCTCAACAATTATTATGACTAGCGGGTATAAACAAGCAGGTCATTTGTCCTATGAGTATGATTTTGTTACTATTTTTTCTCTATATTAGCTTAATAAATCTATAATTGTTTAGCTTTAAAAAAAATATTATTAATTTATATTACATTTTTATTAGTGTAATTCGGTGAAAAAAGAATATTGTGAATATAAAATAGAAATTCAAATTACATTGAGTGGTTGGAATGAATTGAAGAATTGAGAATGTGAAGAGAATAAGTGATATAAAAATTAAAATATTATTTTTAAGTAATAATTAACAAAAACAATAATAATACGGATAATAATAATAATAACTAAGAGCAACGAGATCATTTTCATATGTTTTTTCTTACCATACTATTGTAATTCATAGGGAGAGACATGAATTTCAATTCAAAAAATTGAGAAAATTGCAATATATTTCCTCAAACTGAACATTGTAATTTGAAACTCAAAAGAATTGTCCAAACACCCAGTCAGCTGTCAAATCGCGGGAGATCCTCTAGGGGCCCCACCCACAACCTTCGCAGTTCGCACACACAGTTTTCGTCTCCCATCCTGCCTGCAACTTAACTCATTTACATTGGCAGTTACAATTACAAACTAGTCCCCGACTCCCGGTATATATATATTTACAATTTACAATTACAGTATTTGTGTACTTTTAATGAAATTACAATTACTGATCCACTTCGAATTAGAATTCCTCTCTGCTCTCACTCCTCCCTGTGTATTAAAAAACAAAAAGCAAAAAATCGAAGTAATCCTCTCCTCCTCAATTCATATCCCCCGCAACCATGAGAAATAGGGCGGCCACCGGCCTTGACACCGCGGTTGTCGATGTCTGGAAACGAGAGATCGGTCAACTCTCCACTAGAAAGTTCTCTCTCCGCCTCGCCGCTCCCGAGGTTTTCCATTTACTTTTTTTTCAGTTTCACATTCATGCTTCGTATCTAATCTTTGATTCATGAGCACTCATTACTCTTAATTTCTTATGTCATAGCACTCTAATTCTTACTTTTCAGCACCGTGTGTTTTAAAAATCTTCCTCGGAACATTGCCTTTTCGATGATTTAGTGTGTGATTTCTGTCTGTGTGTTTAAGTAGGGGAAGAGAAATAGTAATGAAGCCTGGTTGTGCACTTGAATTGGTGTGTGTACATAAATATTAATTAGTGAATGATGAGGTAAATTAATGTAGCAATCACAAAAACATGAGTGACAGCAGGACTGATTGAGTTTGTCAGAGGCTCAGAGTTTGGTGGTGTTTCCCCTTTAGCAAGTTATGGAACATGAACTTGGACCCTAGAGAAGGCTTGTAATTGGATTGGAATTGTTTAGGTTTTAACTGTGAGCAACCTTTTGCATTAGGCCAACCATTTGGTTGCTTGGATTTCGTAAATTTGAGAATGCCACATTGTTCTGCTCTTGTTTTTGTCTGTGTGCAGGACCTTGTGCAGCGTCTTGAGATATTTCGGAAGCTTGAAAAACATGGAGGTTGTGTCAATACAGTCAGCTTCAATGCTGATGGAGACATTCTTGTATCAGGTTCTGATGACAGGAAGGTTGTACTTTGGGACTGGCAAACTGGGAAAATTAGACTCTCATTCCATTCAGGGCATCATAATAATGTCTTTCAAGCCAAGTTCATGCCATACACTGAGGATCGAAGTATTGTTACCTGTGCTGCTGATGGACAGGTATCTGAGGATTGATGTATCACTTGGTTGGTGTTTTCCCCTTTTTTTTAACATGTTACTTAACCTTAATTGCTGGCAATGTTTCATGTTGGTGGCTATGCTATATGCAAATATGCAATTACTGTTGTCACATTTTATATTTCTTAGAGGTGTCTAGTAAATTAGGAAACTTGAACCCCCTTGTAAGATCTGTAAGTCTACATGGGCTCATGAGGACTTTGATGGATGGTATAAGAATGCATGCTTGTTTAAATTAGCCGAGGTTACTTACATTACACCCACACCCTCTTGTAGCACATATCTTTGCACAATTTTATGTATGATTTAGAATGTGTGGTTATTCTTATTGGTTGAGAGAGAAAGGACGTTCCCTTCTTAGTTATGATACTCCTTTCAGATAAGACACGCTCAGATTTTAGCACATGGGAAAGTGGAGACAAAAATGCTGGCAAGACACCTAGGACGGGCTCACAAATTAGCAATTGAACCAGGAAGCCCTTACATTTTGTACAGTTGTGGTGAAGATGGACTTGTTCAACGTGTAAGCTGCAACTTCTTTCTTCTTTCACTCGCCCTTGTTTCTCATTTTGCCATTTTGTTGTTTGATTCTGTTCAAATTAGTCCTGAGTAGAAATTAATCTTGAACATTTTTATGATGGAATTTGTTTTTGCAATCCTCATATTTCACACTTCCCTTGTGACTCATCCAGGATGCCTTTTCCATCCCTAGTCTACATTTCTATATATCTATTTTTTGTTTTGTTTTTGTTTTTTTTGTTCTTGATTTGTGGTTTCTAGTGTCTAATCCCTCCGTATATACTCACAGATTGATCTGAGAACAGAATCAGCCACTGAACGTTTTACTTGCCAACCTCTTCCCCCCAGGAAGAATTATATGTCTTTTATTCATCTAAATGCAATTGCAATGGATCCAAGAAACTCGAATTTCTTTGCTGTTGCTGGATCAGATGAATATGCTAGGCTGTTTGATATTCGCAAGTGTAAATGGGACAATTCGTCAGATTTTGGTCAACCTGTTGACTTCTTCTGTCCCTCGCATTTAGTTGGTGATGAGAGTGTGGGAATTACTGGCTTGGCATTCTCAGATCAAAGTGAACTTCTTGTTTCATATAATGATGAATTGATCTATATGTTCTCGAAAAATATGGGTCTTGGACCGGATCCATCTCCAAGTTCTCCCCTGTCTAACCAAAGTGATAATGGTGAAATGGGGCCTCATCTCCAATCAGGTATATCTTCATTAGATACCTGTGCTGGTACAAAAGATGATCCCCAAGCCTACAAAGGACACCAAAACTCTGAGACTGTGAAGGGTGTTAATTTCTTTGGCCCTAAATGTGAATATGTTGTGAGTGGGTCAGACTGTGGTCGAATTTTCATATGGAACAAAAAGGGTGGGAAGCTTGTCAATGTTATGGAAGCAGATAAACATGTTGTAAATTGCATCGAATCTCATCCTCACACCACAGTTCTTGCCAGCAGTGGTATTGAGAGTGACATCAAAATATGGACCCCAAAAGCAACTGAGAAGGCTGTCTTGCCTGTAAATATCCAGAAGGTATGATCTAAACTGTATATTTTTTGAACGAAAGCAGTAAATTGTGTTTCGTACTTTTCATCCATGTTAATAATGATTACTTAATTTTGGCCTTTTGTGTAGTTTATTAAATAGGATCTGTATCCTTGGCATTCCAAAAGCTTAACAGGAAACATGTTTTTGCTTTGTACACTTGAGAATAGTAATAGGCTATATATGTGATGATTTGAGTAGTTAACTCATTTTAGATGAATATCCAACTCCTCACTTTCATCTAAATGCAATTGCAATGGATCCAATATGTGATGATCTGTATCCTTGGCATTCCAAGTGAGGAGTTGGATATTCATCTAAAATGAGTTAATTCCAATTTTGGCCCCTCTATTGTTGGGTATTTCCTTCCTCAAGTTCAAATCAACTAGATTTGGACCCCAACTTTTAAAAGAGTGGCACTATTTAGTTGTCACAAAGGATTAAAAGTAGCACATATTCCATAGTTAAGAGAAGAGACCACATTTGATCAACTTTGAATTCGATGACCAGAAGTGGAAAAACACAATAGTTGGGGGACCAAAACTGGAGTTACCCCATCTAAAACCTACTATAACTCCAGAGAATTCTTTGTTTTAAACCTTAGTAAACATCAGTTGTGTACTTAGTAGTTTGTTGGTTATATCATGTGTACTTCACAACCATCTCTTTTTGTCTGATTTCAGTTGCTGTAGATTTAAACCTTACACCATATTAAATTGGATGCCATTTCCTTTCCCAAGACCATTCATGTCTTGCATTTTGCAATGATGATAGTTGATTACTAAATAATACTTAGATTTGCTGTAAATCTTACATCAGTTGAGTAAACTCTAATTTTATTTTTCTTTGTATAAGGTTTCCATGCCTCGCCGAGTACATTTCTTTGGCATTAGAAGTCTTATTAATGACGATGATGACGATGATGATGGTGGTGACGGTGAATACTTCTTATATGATGGGAGTGATGGAGATGATGATAACATTACTGATGAAGAGGTTGACGAAGAGGAGAATGATGATGATGATGATAACATAACTGATGAAGAAGAAGAAGATGATGATGATGATGATAACATTACTGATGAAGAGGATGATGTTGATGATAACATTACTGATGAAGAGGTAGAGGAGGCTGGTGAAGATAACATTATTAATGAAGAGGTCGGTGATGATAACATTACTAATGAAGATGTAGAGGAAGATGAAGATGATTTCTTCAGTGATACTGATGATTATTCCAACAACGATGACACTACATGTGATGAGGTCTTGGATGATGCTGAGGAAGAGAATGGTAGTGAAGAGGAGTTTTATGATGGTATCGATGATTGCGACGTTGATGATATTACTGATGAAGACCTTGATGCTTTTAGTAACATAGAATATGATGAAGAGCATGATGGGTGACTGTCGATTGTTGAAAGTCAGAAAAGAAACAATGATGGTGTTTCCGGTAAGTGTTGATAATGGTGATGTTCTGCTACTAAACTGATGATTTGGAGTTTTTATTGTTTCTGGCAGAGACCCATGGCAAAGGGTGCTGAAACTACTATATGGATCCTGATCCTCCACCAAACCTGATGTTCAAAATGTTTACTATCCTGCAAAGGCAGGACCATGCTGGTTGGGAGTGCAATAATGAGAAAGTAAGCATTGTGCTAGACTCCTAGAGCTGCTACAACCTTATTTTGACTTTATTTTAAAGCCCATATTTCATACACACATAAATGGGCACCCAATCTGACAAACATACAGTTTGGTCTTTGTGAATATGCAAGTAACAGAAATTGGCCCAAATTCCTCAGTTGGCTGTGTCTATACAAGTATATAACCAACAAATCATAAAACACAAAGCAGACAGGGAGGAAATTGATGCCTCCAACTCATCTCACACTTTCATAGTTGGCATTATTCTTTTTAATTCAATTATTTAGTCTCACAAGTGAGAAAGGGTTAAAAATACACCAGTTTTTTCAATTCTTGTCTGCCGTAAGACCGTACAATATTAGGAAGATTCCTGGTTGCCTATCGAATCACGTTGCGCATCATCATTTTCCAAATAACAGCTATCAAAATAGTGACAATTTAATGATATTATACGTTACCGTATTTAATAATAATATTATAATATCCAATCAAATAATATTTTGTTACACTTATATAAAAATATAAAAATTATATTATGATATTTTTTTTTTTAATCTGTTAACAACGATGAGGATTGAAGTCTAATTAGATTATGCAAATAAACCACCAAAAAAAAAAAAAAAATCATGAGTGGAAATTCAAAGAAGATTTTATTGTCTTGAGCGAATTTATGAACAGAAAGCAACGAAGTAGACAACCTAGGAACACAGAATATCAGACAACTTAAAAACCGACCCAAAGTGTGTTTGACCTTGCATAATCCGAAGCAGAAGTCAGCGATAAAGAACAATAGTAATTTTGACTATAGTAGTTTTTTTTTTTTTTCCTGATTTAGTCCTTGATTCTAATCGTTAAAGAACAATTAAATAAAGCCATCAAAATCGATGATGCAATTAAGCACAAAAAAAAATGTTTAGAACTAAATCGAAAAAAATTACTATAATCAGTGACTAAATTATGTATTAACTCTTTTGTTTACTCAAGTATTTGTGTTATGGTGAAACATAACACATCCTTCAATTATTAAAATATTATTTGTCTTAGACTATGTTTGGCAAATCTAACTGAAAAGTAGTTGAACGCTGAAAAGCTATCAGCTATAACTCCTATAAGCTGAAAAATGAAGAGCTGAGCTTTTTGATAAGCTGATAAATATAAAAAGACTAAAAAAATACCGTCTTTAAATAAAATTATTTACATATTAAAATTTAACATTGTAAAGTGTAAAGATTTATAGAATCTTATAAAATATTATAGAACTCATATGATTATATAAAATTTTATGATAAGATTTTAAAAATACAATCATAATTATACGATCAAGTATATCTCCACCGTCCATTGAGAATATGAAATAAGTATAAATAACTTAGAGCATCCACATCAGTGGATATTATGGAGTTATTGTCAGATGAATTATCTTGGGTGGGGATAATAACAAATGTGGGGTAGGGTTATTTGTGAAAATATTTGTTCTGCAAATTCAAGGATAATGTCAGAAAAAAAAAAGGAAAAAGTAAAATAAAAAACAACACTGGTTGTGCATAGCCAATGTCTACATGGGCGCGTGCATGTAGCGCGTCAGGAGCGCGTCAAGTTTTTATTATTATTTTTTTCAATTTTTGTTTTGTTATTTTTTTTTTTTCTCTCCCCTCCCACATTAACTCAACGGGTAGCAAGTGGCAAATGAGCTAAACATTAAGCTACTAACTTATCGTATTTATAATATATCTAATCAAATAATATTACAGATTGTTGTTACACTTATATAAAAATATAAAAATTATATTATGATGCCAATTATAAAAGTATATAATATAAAAATTATATTATGATGCCAACTATAAAAGTATATAAGAGCATCCACATTAGTTCCAAAGAACGTGGGGATAATGTAAGAGTGATTGGGAAAGAGAATGGGGGAAGGGAGAGAAAAAAAAAGAAAAAGAAATTAGTTGGAAAGAATGTGGGGATAATGTAAGAGTGATTGGGAAAGAGAATGGGGAAGGGGAGAGAAAAAAAAAAAGAGAAAATTGATTTTAAAAAAAAAATTAATACTGTCAGGTGCGCCCACTGGGCGCGTGCCCCCCTCACTTTGAGACATGCCGGTGAGACTCGATCTCTGGTCATTATTCCAAAATTTCACCTCTATGATCACTTGAGCTACCATGCGGGCGCTCCGTAATTCTTATGCTTTAATAAAACGGTGATATTCAATAATTATTTATTATGGAAAATATCTTTTGAATATAAATAAAAATGATTAGATTGGTATTGGAGAAGATGAGGATTGCGGAAAAATTGGGCAAAGCAGGTATGCAACGACGTACGTAACATTGTATTCCACACGTTAAATTCAAATATCTCCCAAAATAAATTAATTTATAAATTTAATCCAAAAAAATTGAAAGCATCCCGTTAACACTGATGTTGACGTGTCGTGATATGGTTGTCACGACTCGCCACTATGAATCACCGTTTTGTGTTTGCGGTTGTTGTAATAGTGTGTACTATATACACTTATTATACACTCACCCTAATCTCTCCCACTCTCTCACTCTCTCTCCCTCTCTCTCTCTCTGCTTTCTGCTATGGACGCTCTCACTCTTTTCTGCACTGTCTCCGTCCTCGCCGGCGGTCTCTACTGGTTTGTTTGCGTGCTCGGCTCCGCTGAGGTGAAGGGGAAGCGTGCCGTCGATCTGTCCGGCGGCTCCATCGCCAAGGAGAAGGTGGAGGACACGTATAAGCAGTACTGGTCATTCTTCCGCCGCCCCAGCGAGATCGAGACTGCTGATAATGTCCCGGCGTTCGTCGACACCTTTTACAATCTTGTAACCGATATTTATGAGTGGGGGTGGGGCCAATCGTTCCACTTTTCTCCTTCCATTCCGGGGAAATCCCACCGCGATGCGACTAGAATCCACGAGGAGATGGCGGTGGATCTACTGGGTGTGAAGCCCGGAGCCCGTATTCTGGACGCGGGGTGTGGCGTGGGCGGCCCGATGCGCGCAATTGCTGCCCACTCCGGCGCAAACGTCGTCGGCATCACCATCAACGAGTACCAGGTGAATCGGGCGAGACTGCACAACAAGAAAGCCGGGCTGGATTCGCTGTGCGAGGTGGTGTGCGGTAATTTCCTCCAAATGCCCTTCCCTGACAACAGCTTTGACGGGGCGTACTCGATTGAAGCCACCTGCCATGCCCCCCAGTTGGAAGACGTGTACAGAGAGATCTACAGAGTGTTGAAGCCCGGATCTATGTACGTCTCTTATGAATGGGTCACCACCGAGTTGTACCGCCCGGAGAACCCGGAACACGTGGATATTATCCACGGGATTGAGCGGGGCGACGCCCTCCCCGGACTGCGGAACTACAAGGACATCCCCGAGATCGCCAGGAAAGTGGGTTTCGAGATCGTCAAGGAAAAGGATTTAGCTAAGCCGCCGGCCAAACCGTGGTGGACAAGACTCAAGATGGGAAGAATCGCTTACTGGCGCAACCATATCTTGGTCACCATTCTCGCCTGGCTTGGGATTGCCCCCAAGGGCACAGTTGATGTCCATGAAATGCTGTTCGTGACTGCCGATTATTTGACGAAAGGTGGAGACTCTGGGATTTTCAGTCCGATGCATATGATTCTCTGCAGAAAGCCCGAGCATTAGCAACCCCACCCACCTGCAATGTAATACGTAGAGATTGACCATGGAGGTTAATTTCGCCTTGTTGTCCCTACCCCCACCCACCCACCCTTTGTTTTTTTTGGTTATCTATCTGTTCTCTTATTTCAGCTTATTGGATTTAATTTCATGTTGCTTTGCTTTTCTCTAGTTTGAATCTCTAGCTTTGATAGTTACACTTCTTAATTATCTCTTAGTTTTTGGAAGCCTGAAGTCCAAAGATCCTATCTTTAATTATTGTAAGAGGGAAATCAATTCAGAACTTGACAAATTCCTCCTTGAACTTGTTTAATTTAGGCTATTGAGTTGGGTTTTCTTTCTTTCTATTCGCTACAAATAATGACTATCCTGAATTCTTTTCATCTGCTATAAGCCTACATTGAAGGTTAGTTGCAGTGAATTCTTTTCCATCTTTCTGTTTTACTTTGTTAGTATATATTCATTTCAAACTTGCACCGGACCACCAATCTGGTGAACACTGATGCATAACTGTAGTTTATGGACAGGGCACTGCTCGCCTGACTTAGCTGTGTAAGAATCCCTCTATATTCATGCCTCGATCAAGGCCTGCTTGTGAACTATGGAATCTGATTTCTAGTACATGTGTTCCTGTATGTATTACTTCATAATTGATAAGATCAAGTTTTAGGCAAAACATATATACATTGATCTACTGGTAGATAGATGGTATTGGTGATCAAGTCACACTACACTTGTTGACCTGGCTCTGAATAGTAAGTTTTCCCGCTTACTATCCTTGTTGGTGATTGCAATGACAGTAGGAAAGCAACTCCTTTGTGGTGGCTGGCTTTAAAAGGCTTTCACGTTGCAATGGCAGCAGTGTAAAGCAATCCCATCTTTAGAAAGTAGAGTTGTAAAGCAATCCCATTGTGCTTTAGTAGAAAGTAGAGTTTGTAAAAATTTGGCAGCAGCAGTGTAAAGCAATCCCATCTTTAGAAAGTAGAGTTGTAAAGCAATCCCATTCTGCTTTAGTAGAAAGTAGAGTTTGTAAAAATTTCACGGGGATTGTTTGACATGTGCTGTGCTTTCAGGTTTGGGAATAGTTTATTGTTTGCAGATCTCAATGTAGGTGTTGGTGTTGATGGATGAGATGAGATCCAGCCAGCCGTTTTGGGGGTGTATAATAACAATCAAGCTGCTGTCTTTTGACTAGGCAGACAGGTGCGTCTTTTCTTTTCTATTCTTTCTTTCTGGTATCCTGCACATGTTTTTGTCACATAATAATGTTATTAGAATATTAGCCTCCAGGGATTGCTCATTGCTTGTAATATACTATATATGTATGCAGGGTTTTTGTTGACAGCCAGTGATTCACTGCGTACCCCGTATAACTATGATGTGTGTGGGGAGCATTCTACAACGAGTAATGCTACACGTACTTTCATTTTTTACTCCCTATCTATCTGGCGTGTTTTGATTCATCGAAAAAAAAAGAAAGAGTGGCTCACAGTTTTTATTACTCTCTTTCTCTTTTGTTAATAAAATTATGACACGTGGCGAGAGTTTTACTTCCTAGGAGACTATATATCATTTTCCTTCTAGAAATGCTGCAGCTCTGCCTATCAAAGAACCCTCATTTTCCTTCTTACACAAGGGCGATTGGTTGGAATGAGGGAATTAGGGGAAGGAATTGTAATTTTGTGGGTTGGAATGAGGGAATTAGGGAGAAGAAATTGTAATTTTGTGGGAAAATAATAATAAAAAGGAAGAAGGAACAAGAGCAAATTTGTTCACACAATGCTTTTTTCCTTCCCATCTTCCAATGAATTTCAATTCCTAGGGGAGGCTTGGTTAGGAATTTCAATTCTATGGTTGGAGAGAATTGTAATTCTCTTTAACCGAATAATGGAATTTTAGTTGCTAGAAAATAAGGTGAGAAAAGAAAATAATATGCATTGGGTAATAGTGAAAATATGATACCCGATAATGTATATATTTAGGTTGTGTTTGGTTCATGAGTTTTAGCTATCAGGAATGGGAATCAAAATCAAAGTCATTGTTATTGTTTGGTTTGGTTGATAGGTTTCTAGAACACTATTATGGGATTTGATTACCCGCTTAATTATAAAACTCATCCCTAATAAAATAAGGGTTTCATCCCTTTATTTCCCCTCTTAATTGGTAATTTGATTTTTAAGTTTGGATTAGTGCTTTTAGATTTTTGTTTTTATTTATTTTTGTTCATATTTGTGCTTTAGATGTCTTTATATTAGAATAAATTGTCTTGATTTGTTGTTCTTGTATTTTTAAAACTTTTAGTCTCATTATTATAGGATTATATATAACCAAATAACAATATTGGTAATCATTCCAATTTCACCCTACTATCAAACATGCAAAATATTTTTACTAAAACTCATTAACATTACTAAGTATTTAATTTTCATTCCAATTCCGATTCTCACGAGCGACCAAAGACACCCTTAGTTTTGTATGTATTTGGGAGTTGAGGTTTAGCAATGATGAAATGAACAAATGCCTTACCGGTTTGGCTGCCATTCTTGAGTTCTTTGGCAAAACTATATCGTGGACTGGGTTCCATGTTATATCATGGACATAGTTATTATTATTATATAGAAATAACATTATACATGCATTAACCAAATTTTGGTACATAAAATATCACTAAATAGATCAATTATTATTTAAATATATTATTCTCTATTTTTTATATAAATAAAAAGGATACATAAAAATATATTATTAAAAATTTCTAATTAAGATATTTTAAATGAAATATAGTAATGTAACAACATGCACCTGGTTGATGTTTTAACTATTGGTTGAGGAACTACGATTGTTATCTTGTTTGTTTGTGGCCTTGTGGGGCATCATGTTTCTATCACTATTCTTGGCCCATGAATACTTTTGTCTGGTAGGAGCCCAACACACACACACACACATATATATATATATATATATATATATAGAGAGAGAGAGAGAGAGAGAGAGGGGCAGAGCCAGGATTGCATAGTGCGGGGGGCCAACTATGCACATTAAGTACAAATCTCAGGCACATTAAGCACAACACTCACGCAAATTGAGTACAAATTTCACGCACATCCGCACGAAACCTTTCACTATATATATATATATATATATATATATATATATATATATCGTGGACCAAAGTCCACATAGCATTGTAGATCCTGTATCGAAACAATGTCATTTTAACTTTTAATATACAATCCTCAATTGGGAGTCGAACATGTTTCATCACCTTTCTTGGTAACTTGTTTGTTCTATAGTAGTCAATAGGGGTGAGCATCGGTCGGTTATGTTTAATAACCAATCGATAACCGAATAACTAATTGCATTTTTTAAATTTCCATAACCGACCGAAATCGATTATGTCGGTTTCGGTCGGTTATTCAGTTAACCGAATAACAGAACATTCACAAGCAATATTATATATATATATATATATATATATATATATATATATATATATATATATATATATATATATATATATATATATATATATATATATATGGAAGGGTTCATGTGCGGTTGGACGCACCTTAATCATTAACATGGTGCATCTTAAATACACAAATCACCACGCACCTTAAGTCCACAAACAAAGCACCTTAAGAACACAAATCACTCACCTTAAGTACAAAACACAAGCACATTAAGCACAGAACAAAGTACTTTGAGCACAAAACTCACACACTTAAGATTTTAAAATGTCTCACATTAAGTTGAAAACTCACGTACATTAAGCACAAACCTCACGCACTTTAAGTATTAACTCACAGACCTTAAGTTTCAACAACTACTGACATTAATCACTAACCTCACACACATTAAGCACAAACCCTACACACATTAAACACAAACTCCATTCACATTAAGAACAAATCTCACGCACCTTAAGCACAAAAGCCCACACTTTAAGTTTACATAACTACTCACATTAAGCACAACCCCACGCACATTAAGCACAAAACTCACGCACCTTACGCATAAGACACACATCTTATATACAAAATTCACGCACATTAATCACAGAATTGCTCACCTTAATATTGACCTAGATGCAAAAATTACAAAATTGTCATCGCGTTTTTCTTTTCTTTTTTTTTTTTTAAAAAAAATTTTGGTAATCGTGAACGTCGATTTAAGCGAGATGAATGGCCCAGATTAAACCGCACAACCGCACCTAGGCACCCTAACCGCACCACAACCTATATATATATATATATATATATATATATATATATATATATAATAGTGTCGGTTATTCAGTGACCGCCGTTATTACACTTTCATAACCGATAAATAACCGAATAACCAAATTTTTTTTAAGGCTTATAACCGATAACCGAAATTATCGGTCGGTTCGGTTATCGGTTATCGATTTTGTCGATTTTTTGATAATTATGCTCACCCCTACTAGTCAAGTGTTTCATACATTTATTTATTTATTTATATAAATATACTATCTAACAGCAAGTGATGATAAGTATATACTTTAATATCTCCCATATATTTATATAGTTCAAAAGCTCTATAATGCATATATAATAAGCCAATGTACTAGAAGGCAGTAGCTCATATGCAAATGATAGTTAATTTAGTTAACCAAATAACCAATCGAATTAACCAAAAAAAACTAATTCGGTTAAAATCAAATGCATAAACTTCAATTTGATTAATTTGAGCAATTAATAATTCAATTGGTTTAATTTATTTTAATAATAAATTATTTTCCTAAAATAATTTATTGAAAAAAAAAGAGAGTAATGTAAAGATGGAATGTGCCAATTATATCTAAAATTTTAAATTTTAAATTTTGGCACATGAAACAAAGTTTTTATGGTTAAATTATTATTATTATAATTATAAAATGTAGATATCACAAATTCACAATGCACCAAAGTAGTAATGTCAATGTGGTGGGCTAGCCCCTACCCAAAAAAAATGTAGTGGGCTAGCCCCTATCAAAAAAAAAATGTGGTGGGCTAGCTAGTACAACCCATGTGCTATAACATGAATTCAAACTCTTTGTCTGTAAGGGAAAATTTCAATTTTGGTCTACTGATTATTAGAGTTGTGTTAATTGTAATATTTGACTTTAAAAATGTTAATTTAGTACATTGACTATGTAATTTCTATCAATTTTGGTCACGCTAGTTAAATTATCTGTCAAATCTCATCGAAAAATTTCAATAGGTCAAATAATTAGGGTATTTTAGTCATTTTACTCATCTTTTCTTTCATCTCCGATGAACTTCTCTCCGTTTCCGGCGACTTTTTCTTCTTCGATGAGCTTTTTTTTCCACTTCTTCTGCTTTCTTGTAATAGTTGTTTCACAGGTTGTCCATCTCTTCCGGCCATCACTCTTACCACATCTCTTTAGCCTCTACAAGAATTGGAGTAGACATGGCAATTCATGTTAAATGGCATATAATAATCTATTCAAATTTAAGATCGGAATTTACAAAAATCATTATATATATATTTAGCGAATGTTGCATACTCAGATGCTAATTTCTCCATAGAAGCTGCATATAAGCATACACCTTCAAAACATTGTAAGAGAGACAGAGAGTGTGTGTGAGAGACTCACTGTAAGAGCAGTTAGAGAAATTGGCTTCGAGGAGAGAAGCGAGAGACGGGGAGACACGAGAATGGAGAAATGAGAATAGAGAGTCTGAGAGTGAAAACTGAGAACTAGGGTTTTGATTTACCACTTACCAGTACTGTTTGTTGTCAAACCAAATAGTGGCTTTGCTGTCAAGCTCATCGGAGAAGGGGTCGCCGAAACGGGAGGGAAGCTCACCGAAGAAGAAAGAAAAGATGAGTAAAATGATTAAAATACCTTCATTATTTCACCTATTAAATTTTTTTGGTGAGATTTCGCCGGCAATTTGGTCGGCGTGACCAAAATTAATAGAAATTGCATAGTTAAGGTGTTAAATTAACATTTTTAAAAGTCAAATGTTACAATTAACACAACTCCAATAATCAGTGGGCCAAATTTGAAATTTTCTCTTTTATATAATTTACATTTATTTTTTAATGTAAAAATAAGATTTGCATAAAAATATATCATTAAAAATTTAATTGATATTTTTAAATGGCATTTATATTGATATTTTTTTAAATTTTAAATGAGTCTATATGTTTTTTTTTTTTTTTTTTTTTTTGGTAAGGAATCTATATGTTTATAAAGTTAATATTATAGGTTCATAAAGATTCTTTTTGAGTACTCATAAAGATATTATTGAATTATTATAAAATCATTAATGGAAATTTATAAAATTACTACTGTAAATTTATTAAGTTATTATTATAGATTCATAAAGTACTATTTATATGTTCATTAAATTACTACTACAAATTCATAAAATTAATATTACATGTTTATAAAGTCATTACTATAGGTCCATAAAATCATCATTTTATATTTATCAAGTAGTATCTATATGTTCATTAAGTTATTATTATAAGTTTATAAAGTCACTATTGCGTATCATTAAGTATCTACTGCAGGAGTATAGGATAATAAAGTCAATATTGTAGGTTCATAAAATTACTACTGCAAATTCATGATCATTATTGTACGTTCAACATACAATTATGAAAATGATATATTAAAAAAAATCAATATGAATGTTATTTAAAGGATTTGAACGAGATATTTTTAATAATATATTTGTACACATTAAATTTGTTCATCCAGAAGAGAGGATACCCTAGGGGTGGGCAATTCGGCTCGGCTTATCCGAACCGAATTAGTAATAGAAATTCGAACGGTTTGGGATTCTTGTAAATCGAACAATTTGGTACAAAACTGAACGATTTGGCAAAAATCAAACCGAATCGAATATCATATGATTTTTAATAATAATAATAATAATAATAATAATAATAATAATAATAATAATAATAATAAAGTAAATCCAAGTCCATTGATGCCTGCTCCGCTGTTCAGTTCTTA